GCAATTTCGATTTGCTGGTTTGTCCTTTTTAATTGCCCGTTTGTTTAAAAATGGTATAACGTAAAAATTTAAATTTGGTTTTAATTTTTTAAATAGGCTTTTTTAAAAATTGCTTGTAAATTTTGGGTTTTTATTCGAAATTATTACTTTCGGAATGCCCCAATCGCATAATTTAAGCATTTTTAGCAACCGTTTTGCCCATATTTTTGCTATATTGGTTGTTTGGCTTGGGATAATTAGCATTTTTTTTAAAAAATTTGCATGTTGCCGTTATTAAGCTATCGTATGTTTTTTTTTAACAATTGCCGTTGCTAACGGGTGCTTCTGGCAATGTTATTATAAAATCGATCGTAATGGTATAAAAAGATTTTGGTAAAAAACGGATAAATTGGGTTTTTCCCATTGCTTTAAATTTGTTTGTATCGATTGTTTGGCATTAAAAGCAATTTGTTAATTAGCGTTTTACCTTTTGTTTTTTGTAAGCGAACGTAAATTTTTTAAATTCGTTTATTATTTTTGTTGCTTTTATATATTTCGTTTCGTTATGCATTATATGCAGCACGTTTGGCATTATGCTGCCGGGGATATATAAGTTTTTACTATCGTAATAATGGTAATATAAAAGTTCGTTTTTTAATATATATGGTGCGGGAAGTTTTTGAAGTGGTTAATTTGGGAAAGGGTTGTTTGTTACCTTGTTTAGCTTTCCCTTTTCCACGAATTTGGCTTTTACACTTTTTCGTGCTTTTTTTTTTATTGCTTATTGCTTTATTTTATTATTTTTGCTTTTTTGTACTTTTAGCTTGGCTATAATACTTTTGTACTTTCGATTTGTTTAATATCCTTTCCGGATTTTTTTTTCGTTTTTTTCGATTACATTAACTTCTTTTTGTTAATATCCGAATTTATTTTAAATGCCATCGAATTCGTTAAACTTTTTGGGCACTTATTTATTGTCCTCGCTTGCTAGCAATTTGGATAAAGCGTTCGGTACCAAATTGGTTTTTCCCGGTATATGTTTTACCATTAATTTATATTGTAATAAATAAACCGTTGCTATTATTAACCGGGTATTGGTTTTATTGGGATTTACCGTTTTAAAGTTTATTTGTTTAACAATACCTTTGGTAAATTTGTAATTTGTAAATATTGTAATAAGGTAATTGGATAAGTGCATTGTTGCTTTTAGCTTGCGATACGCGTATACCAAACATGCTATTTCCAATTTTATTGCTTGGTATTTTAGCTTGGCAATCGATAGCAACCTGCTTAAGTAAAGGATTGGTTGGACGTTTGTGCTTGGTATTCGTTGGCCGTTTTATGTATTTTTTTTAACGTAAAATAGCATTATTTCCATGCTTTTTTGCTTGGATGCGTTTATTTTAAAAAAAATTAAGCGTTTGGGTCGAAAATGTGTTAAATATTAAATATCGCCCAATTATTTTTTAACAATTTCGAATGCTTTCTTTTCGATATCCGTTGGTTCGAAAGCAATTTTTAACGTATATTTTTTTTAATAAGCTTTAACGCCTTTTGCGGAAGTTCGTTGCACGATTGGCTTGCTTTTAATAATGCCGCTTTTTTTTTCCAATAGCTTTATTTTTTTAGCGTATTAAAGTATATATTGTTTAAAAATTTTTGTTATGCCGATAAATGTTTCGAAAGAATTTAGCGTTACTGTTGGAACCTACTTATTAAGCGCATGCACAGGCTCTAAAGGATCGCCATACATAAATCCGGGATTTGTGCACCGGCCATCCAAAGCTCCTTTGTACTTATATAAAAAGGTCGGATCCGTCCCTCTCTTTCAGGAAAATTCCTTCCTCCTTAAACCTAAATAATAACACTTTAACTTAATTACCTTTTAATAAGTATTAAACCTTAGTTTTACGCCGTTTGGAGCTTTACAAGCATAAAATTTTACTTTAAAATCCTTTTTATATTGATTAATGTTGCAAAAAGCAATACAAAAAAGCAAAAAAAAAGGGTTTTTTAGTTAATTAAAGTTAAATAAAAAATTTAAAAATTAAAAACTATCGGTTTAACGCTCGGCAGCGCATTTTTTATTTGCTTTTGGCCATTAAAATCGAAAAAGCTTTAAAAAAGGGCGCTATGCAATCCCTTAAGCTAATACCTTAACCCGGTTTAAATAATTAGGACGGATTGCTTTAAATAATACCGCTTACTATCCTTCTTACCATTTTACTATGGAAAAAAAAGAATTTTCCGCTTACGCAATTTTTAATAAGCAAAATTAAAGCCCGATAAGCATAAAAATGTTTCGTAAAAAACAAATACTTTATACAAAAAAAGTTATCGATATTTTAAGCTTTTTTTTAAATTTTTTGTCCATTTTTTATTTCCTTTTTTTTAATTACCTTAATTACAAAATCGCTAAGCACCTAACAAACGTTTTCGCGATTGGCAAAAATACATGGATTATTAAATGGATGTATAACAATTGGAAAGAGTTAAATCCCAACAATACGTTAACCAATTTTAAAAAAGATTTTAATGGCTGGATTAACGCAGATTTTAACGCAATAAATCCAACAATTCGACGATTTTTGCAAAGCCATTTCCGAAAGCAAAAGATTTACTTTCCCATTTTTAATTTAAAAATATTAAGCGAAAAATTAGCGGAAATTTTTAGCTGGTTACGAGCTTTTATCGTAAAACCAAGCTTTACGCTAAATTTAGCGTTACGATTAACCAAAAGCAAAAGCAAAAAGCCCATAAAGCTGCCATTTCCAAACCTTATGCTTTTACGTTAATTACCATTTAAAACGTTTTTTTAACCAATTAATACAATGCAAAAAGCGGTAAAAAACGAACAATTACCGAAAGCACAATTTAAAGCGCAAGGAAGCTGGAAAATAAATTTTTTAGCGATTTTTACAAAAGCATTAAGCAAAATAAAATTACCTTTTTGCCCTAACTTTCGAACTATATCGTTTCAAAAATAACAAAAGCCGTAATATACCTTTACGAAAAAGCGTAAAAGCATAATTTTACTTTAATTTTTCCAATTACCCTAGCTTATATAATTATAACCAAAATACCCGCTATAAATAAAAAAATAAAAGCACGAAAATTTCGTAATTAACGTTCCAAAGCGCAAACGCGCAAAGGAAAAACAAAAACCAAGCGTACGGAATACAAAACCACCTTTTTCATTTCCGTTACCTTTTAAACCGCCCTTTCGAAAACCGCCTTTTTAAAAACCGTTACCAAACCTTTTTAGCCATACTTACCATTTATTACATAACCAAACCCTTTATACCTTATTTCGTTACTTTTATACCAAAAAGCTTAATTATCGTTAAATCCCTTTACGGGAAATGGCTAATGCATTAATCGACGCAATTACTATACGCATTTTTAAAACCATTTGGAACAATATATATTCGTATACGGAAAAACCGTATAACATTATTAACAATAAGCTTTTCCATTTTACAATTTACGTTTAAATGCTTGGGATAAATTATTTATAGCTTTACGCGCTATATTTTTACATTTTAAAAAGTAAAGCAAGCAAATATTACGTTAATTACATCGGCTTTATATTTACTTTTTAAGCCATTTATTTTATACTTAAAAATTATTTCGAAATAAAAATTGTGCAAGCTTAGTATTAAATAAATTAAACAACAATTTATTTCCATACCGTCCGTTTAAAGCTTGCAAGTACCGGAAAAACGAATATCGAAATTTTATAGGAATTTTTTAATAAATTGCAACAATGTTACCAAGCGTTAAGCTTAAATTTTAACAGTAAACAATAGCTTATAGCAAACATAGCAAAAGCAATTTAAAAAATTTCCGAATTTAAAATGGCGTTATTTAACCATTTCGATATTTTTAAAAGCTTTTCCAACGTATTTCGCAATATTATAAAAATTAAAAACAATAACAAAATCCCGGTACAATATTATACGGAACGGAAATACGAAAACAAAAATTAACGAAATTAATAAAAGCAAAAATGAAAGCAAAAACGAGCTTACAATTTATATGCCAAACAAAGTTATTGGATTTGCAAAAAGCCCAATTGCCAATTAATAAAGCATTTAAAGGAAAAGCAAAAAATGCACAAAAAACGCTAGCGTTAAAAGCAAAAAAACAAAAGCAAAAACTTAATTAATTATCGAAAGTTTTTTTCGATTATTAAATTAACTAATTTAAAAAGCGAAAGCGTATTGGAAAAGGATAACAAAAAGCCAATTAACAATTACAATTACGAAAACAACCAAAAAGAACATGCAACAACGTATTTTACATAAAATATAGCATCGTACCTTATAAACAAATTATAAAAGCACCGTTTGTTTGCAAAAAACGCTTAAAAAGCATAAAAAGCTAAAATTAAAGCTTTTATTTACGAAATGCTTATTTACAACAATATTGGTAACAATATACAATGGTACGGCATTTTGCTAAATACCGGCGCGGCAGCTAATTTAACGGCCGGAATTAACCAAATTTAAACATTGCAACAGCATATGAAAAAGCTTAAAATCGATTACAAAGCACCCAAGCATTTTGTAACTTTTGGAGCAAAAAATACCGAATTTAGCATTGGCGCGATTATTGTACCAACCTTTATTAGCAACATTACGTTTTACGTTTTTAATAGCCCAATACCATTCCTTTTATTACTTAAGGATATAAACGCGTTAAGTATATATTTTAACAATACGCGCAATAAATTTGTAAAACATAACGAAACGCGCGTGCGGATTATTAAACGTTTCGGTTATTTATGGTTTTTTTTTAACGCATCGATATACGTTATAAACAAAATTTTAATGGCCGCCGAAAAAAAAATCGCGGGATTTTTGTTTTTAATAAAAACCGAATTACGGCGCGTTTACAAGCAATTTAGCCATTTTTCCGTTAATAAATTGCATAAAACCTTTTAACGGGCAAATTACGATACAAATTGCAACGCGCTAAAAATAATTAATAAAATGTGTTACAAATGCTAAAATAAAGGAAATGCATTACGACAATTTAAATTTACGTTAAAAAACGATAAGGATTTTAATTACAAAATTATCGTTAACGTTTGTTATTTAAGCAACAAGCCAATTTTTTATATAATTAACGAAAGTATAAAATTTAATGCTATAGCGATTTTAAAAAATTTATTTGTAAAGGAAATTTGGGAAATTTTAAAACGTTATTGGATAAATGTTTATTTAAAGCTTTTAAACGTAATTATTTATAACGCAAGCATTTATTTTTTAAAAAGCGGTTTTTAAATTAAAACAAAGCTTTTTGGAATTATTTACAAGCAAATTCCCGTTAAAGCCCATTACGCCGTTAAAAAAGTCGAACGAACGCATAGCATGTTACGCAAAGCGCATTCGATTATAAAAACCGAATGCCCCGATTTTGCGCCAAAATTATAATTTTAAGGAATTGTAAAAGCAATTAACGATACCGCGGGACCGAACGGTTTGGTTTTAACGCTGTTCGTTTTTGGAATTATGCTACGGATAAATTACGAATTATTACCGTTATTAACTGTTACAAAGTAAATAGTATATACTGTTATGAGGAAGCTTTAGGCATAAATATTAAATGCTTAAGGCATTGGAAAAGCGGTCCCTTTGCTTGGAAGCGTATAACGCTTCCAGGCGTTAGGAAGGAAGCTTAGTAAGCAAGGAGGACAGGGAGTTACGTGTATATAAAGGGCAGAGGCCCTTACGGGACCCTGCACTTTAAATCCTTTCCTCCTTAAAGCATATCAACCGGAATAGCCTCACACCGTGCTTATCCCTTTTGCCTGCAACATTAATTATAACCAAACGCGCGCAAACGATTAAAAAAGTTATAACAAAGCTTCGAAAAGCAATTGCTAAAAAAAAGGTTGCAAATGCCGTTAATACCCGGAATAGCTTTAATATTAATACCGTTAAACCAAGCTTTTTTACTTTTAAAATAAAAGTTTTAATGTTTCGGGAAAAAAAGGGATGGACGGGCCCGTACAAAGTAGCAACGGTAGCAAATAACAACGTTACAATTAAAACCGTTAACGGTTTGGTAACGTTTAAAAGCATTTTTGTTAAGCTTTATTATTAAATTAAAAAATAATTAAATAACAAGCCAAAAAAGCAATAAATCGAAATTTCGGAACCATTCGTTTACCCCAAACCGGTACAGCCAAAACGACGCGGACGCTTATTAAAGAATAAAATACCGGTACAACTACAAAATCGACCAAAACCGCTAATACCAAATGCAAAAAGCAATAAGCCTTTAAGGCTAAAGGAGCGATTAAAAATTAAATTATACAATAAAACGTATTTGTTATTAAAAAAAGCAAAAGCTATGCGTTTATTAATTAAATACAAAGCAAAAAGCTTAATTAAAGCTTTAAAACCTCCGTTTTAAAAAGCCGATTGGAACGAAATAACGTTTTTGTTTAACGCTGGAATAATTATAGCAATTCGTAAAAGCTAATTTCCAAGCGCTAAAATTTTTAAAGCACGTTTCGTTAAAAAAATAAAAGGGATACCGGAAGCTTTTTACGAAAAAACGAAATGCGTAATTTAAAGTATTAATAATAACGAAAAAAAAACTATTTTAACGCAAGCTTTTACAATTATGCATTGCAACCAACGGTTAATTTTTGCGCTTGCATTAAGCTTTTAAAACTAAAGCATTTTATTAATAACCCGGAACATTACCCAAGTGCCACGGCTTACACCTTATTATTATAAAAAAGGCTTTGTTGTTGCACGAAAAGGAAGCTATTTGGGCAAAGCGTTCCTAGCGTTCTGTCGCGGTTTTATAAGCGTAACGTTGGCGCGCTAAAAGTGCGGCCTTAGGTTCCTCCCCAAATGCTCCGACGCGTACCGTAACAATACCTTATTACAAAATTGCAATTGTCCCAATTGCGTTAACGTAATGCCTTGCGCCGGTATAGCGTTGCATGCACAGCTTCGTTTGCTTAGGGCGCTTCTTTATTTTTTTTGTTTTTTTTGCGTACGGGCTTGCAATGCTTTGCTTATCGCTTTCCCAAAGCGAAATCCCCGCGTTGCATTAGCGTTTTTTTTCGCCGTTTTTTTAATTTTTCCCCCGTTTTGCGTTACGTTCGTTTAACTTTTTCCTTTAATTACTATTACCATTTTTACCATTACGATTTTTTAATTCGCCGGTTTAACGTTATCGTTGCTTCGTATTTTTATCGTTATTTCGTTCCCTTTTTGTTTTTTTCCGTTATACCAATTAATAATATAAACGCCCGCAAAATCCGCGCCGGTACGGTAACGCGCTATCCGTTTCGCGCCGTTACTTGTTTTTTAACGCTTCGTACGCTAATTAATTAGCACAAAAATAACATTTCGGGCTTAATGCATCCTATTTAAAATTTTTATTGCGTAAGCCCGGGTTCGAAATTTTAGCGCAACGGTAACGGATTGTAATTTTATTTAAACGTTCGATGTTATTAATATTAAAATCGAAAGGATAATTGTAACAAAGTGCGTTTTATTAATTAAAATTTGCCGGCGCATTGTTAACGTTCCGATTCGCAACCGTTTTTTTATATAAAAAAAAACCTTTGCAATTTTAAGCGCTTGGCCGCCGCTTACAAAAGCTTTTTTCGTATCGATAACGGAACGCCGGTCCTTTTAAATTTTGCCGGCGTCGCCGAAAACGTATATATTTTATTGGCGGACATTTGCGCGCGTATTGCGCGCATATGCACCCATTTTATGCGTGGTTTTAAAGCCGCTAACGCCGTTAAACAACGCTTCCATTGCATAAATAGCCCTTAAAACCGGCGCCAAATAAACATTTCGCTAGCGTTTTTGCGTTTCGCTTTTATTTTTTTTTTTACAAAATTTTAACGTTAATTCCAGCCCGCCCTTTTCGTTGCTTTAACGCACCAATAGCGCGCTATTGCCATTTTGTTGGTTAGTATTTAGCTTTGCCATTATTCCTTTCGTTTTCCGGCTTAAAAGGACCGGGCGAAAGTACGGCTTTTTTTTAACGACCCGGAACATACAATTTGGCATGCCGCTAAAAAGGTTTATATCCAGGAATATTATAAAATTGTATATGTTATATGGTTTGCGGTTATTGCTAAAAACGGGAACGATTGGAACAATACCGTATATTTAGCAACGCGCCGGAATTTTTTGCTCGTAACGGGGGGTTATTTTAACCAATTCCTTAAAATAATATCCTTTGCCCAATATAAATTTCCGGCCATTTTTTTTTTTTTTAAAAAAAATCGATAAATGTACCGGAAAAAAAATAATTTTTTTTTTCGTTATTGTTTTTGGGGGCAAATAGCGGCGGGCAAACCGTTAACGATTCGTTATTGTTATTATTTTTAAAAAGCGAAATAAAAAAGGTTATTGTAATAAAAGCGGGTAACGGCGAACAAGCCGTTAACAATTCGTTATCGTTTTTAAAAAATAAATTTTCGGGGTTTAAAAATAATAATATTTAAACGCGGCGTTTGGTCGTTTTTTTTTTGGTTTGGTTTTAAAATTTGGCTAGCGCGGCGTTCGGGTATTTTCGGGCGCATATTTATTTTTTGCGCGCTTTAGCGCGTTTTGGTGCGCGGCAATGGTTTAGCGCTATAACGCCGTTTTTCCGCGTTAATTTTGGCTTACCGTTTGCGTATCGCCGGCGTACGGCACGTTATTTTTAAATTAAAGTCCCGATAAAAAATTGTATTAATAACAATTAAGCTTTTTTCGGGCGGCTTTTACGTTTTGGTATTTATTGCTTTTAACGTTAGCGGGACGCCGGGCCCGTTATTTTTTGTACAAATTGTACCGTTTTTAATTTGTGCTACCAATTTAATAATCCGGGTTTGTTTGGGTACAAACGGTAAAAATCCCGGATACGGTCGTTTGCCTTTTTAAGGTTGCGGTAAGGTTTTTAAATCGGGGCGTAAAATGCGGGCCATTTAATTTTATACTAAAAGCTTTCCCGCGTTTTTTTAAAATTAAAAATTTTGTTAAAAAACCATTTTTTGCTGCTATTATCGGTATTTTTCCTTTCCGTTAAAAAAACGCCGGTAATTTGTTAATTATATCCCTTATTAATAACGTTTTATCCCGGCAATTCCGGATAGTTCCGCTAAATTAACGAAATATAAAAAACGGGGAACAAACGGTATTAAAACGAAAGTTTAACGGTTAAAGCTCGTTTGTAAATTTTGGTAACAAAAAACGGGCCAATTTATTTATCGTTTAATTTAAAAATTGGCTTTAAAAATGGTATGTTTTTTATATTTACCCAAATTTAATTTTTTATAACGAACGTGCTTGGGTTGGTTCGATAGCGATTGGCCGCTTTTTCGTACCGTTTTTAAATTGCGGTTGTTATTATTTTAACATAATTAAAAACTATTTGGATTTTATCGGCTATTGTAAACGCATTGTAAATTTCCCGTTGCTTTGCCGGCGTATCGTTGGTATTCGAAAAAGAAATTGGTTCGGATTTTATAAAAAGGTTTTACCCGTAATTAACAAAAAACGGTAAAATTTCCGTTATTTCCGATATTTAATTATTGCTAACGAATTTTCCCAATAAAAACCAATTAACCCAATCGTTTTAATAATAAAAGCAAAAGCTACGGAAATATTGTTTTATATACGCGTTTAAAACTTCCGTTTGCTCGTTAAATTTTGGGTAAAACGCCAACGATTTTTTTAAAGTAACGTTTAAACGTCGCTGCAATTCCCGCCAAAAATTAAATATAAATTAAAGCTTTTTATTGGATATAATGGTTTCGAAAGTACCGTATTAACGGTACATTACCGATAAATAAACGTTTGCTAAATTGCCCGCGTTAATGGTATTTATTAAAATGTAATGCTTTATTTTTGTTAATTTATTTATTACTACCAGGATATTGGTATAAATAATACCCCGGCGTTTATACAGCGGCAACGGGCCGATAAAATCCATTAATAAATTTGCTTATGGTTTAAACGGAATTGGCAGCGGTTAAAATAGCCCGTTGGAAAAATATTTTCCTTTTTTAACCATTTTGCAAAAATAGCAGCCCCGAACAAAAACGCTAACGTTTCGGAAAAGTTTTAGCCAAAAATATAATTTTTATAACAAATCGTATGTTTTGCTTTTTTTTGCGTAACCGCCAGGTAATAAGCTATGCACCTTATACAATATTTGCAATCGAAAAGCATCGTTTAAAGGGATAAACAGCCTTTTTTCGACGTAAATGCGCCCCCGAATCGCTTGGCAATTAATTTTAATAACTTTAAACGTTTTGCGCAAAAACGCTAAAAAATAGCAAATGTTCGGGTCGGCAAAGCATTGTAACAAGTTTTAACAAAATTTAAACGCAAAATAGCTTTTATTAATAAGCGCGTCGATAAGTTCGGAAATATCCAATTGGTACAGGAAAAAACATTAAAATTGCGCCGGCGTTCCGTTTGCTTACCGTTTTGGGGGGAAAAAAATCCTATGCTTATTAACAACGCGCTCGTTTGCAGCAATGTCGTAAAGCGTTGGTTTAACGCCGGAAGGTCGGGAAAAAGCGTTTGGCACAATAGCTATTTTTTTTGGTTTATATACGATTTGGAACTTAAAGTTATTAAAAAATTCGAACTAACGTACTTACCGCTGGTTAAGCAATTTGGTAATAGCAAAGAATTGTAAATTTTTATGGTTTGTCCAAACTTTTATTAGCGTTTCGGTTTTTTAAAACTTCGGTTTCCATTTTTTAAAAGCGCGTACGATTGCAAGCAATTCCTTATCGTAAATTTCGTAATTGCATTTAGCTAGTAAGTGCTTGGCTAAAAAAAAAGCAACGGGCCGGCGTATTTTAAGCGCATTTATTTAAAATAGCACCCCGTTCGTAGCTTAATCGGAAACGTCCGCTTTTATAATTGTTTTAAGGGTTAGGTCGTAATATGCAAGCACGATGTCCGAAAAAAAAACGGTTTTAAGCTGGTAAAAAGCTACCGTTATTTTGGCAAACCATTAACGTACCCATAACTATTTGTTTATTAATAAGTAAAAGGGTTTAGCGATAGCGGAAAAACCTTTAATAAACCGGCGATAAAAATTAATAAAATTTATAAAACGGCGGAATTCTTTTAAAATTATAAATTGTTTTTATTAACGAATTGCTTTAACCTTTTTTTCGTTTATACGGATTCCCGTAATTAAAATAATTAGGCCGAAATATTTGGTTTTTTGTATTAAAAATTCGCACTTCCAAATGTTAATAATAAAGCCCGCGTCGGCAAGTTTTTGGACCATTACGCGAACGTAACGCCGGTATTCCGCTCGCGTTTTGCTATAAATAAGGACGTTATCGAAATATATTGTAACGTAGCGGTTTAGTACATTTAACAAAATGCGGTTAATATAGTATTAAAAAAAGCTAAAAGCGTTTGTTATGCCAAAATTCGTTACCAAGCATTCGAAAAGGCCGAATTTAATAATAAACGCTATTTTTTATTCGTTTTTTAAAACGATTCGTAAACGATTAAACGCTGCAATAATGTCCAATTTAATAAAATATTTGGTTTTTAAAAAAGCGTTTAGTATTTTTTTAATTAAAAGGATAAAATATTTGTTTTTTACGGTAACGTTATTTAAACCCCGGTAATTAATACAAACGCAAATTCCCCCCCCGGGCTTTTTTGCTAAAAGAACCGGAGCAACCGCTGGCGATATATTATCGCGTATAAAGCCTTTCGCTAAGTATTCGTTTAAATATTTCCTAACAATTCGAAGCTCCTTTTGGGATATAAATTTGTTATAATGGTAAAAAAGCGTTTTGCTTAAAAATAATTTAATTTTGTGGTTAAAAAAGCAATGCGGTAGCAATTTATCGGCGTTTTGGGGAAAAAAGCATAACGCTAAATCGCGGAATTCGTAAAGAAAGCGTTGTAAAATTTCTTTTATTGTAACGGGGGGCTTGCTATTTAAATACTTTTGGATATTATTATTGGAAATGCGCCGAAAATGTAATGCTTTTTCGACCCAATCCTAAAATGCGGCTAAACGTGGTTTTAGCATATCCCGAAAGATTTTATCGAACAAAGTTAAAATGGAACGGAAAATTTTTATTAACGTATCGTTAACGAATTGGTCGGCGCTTATTGGGGGTATTAAAAGCTCGGGGCAAATTTTAACGTAAAATTTCGCTATAGTTATTCGTTTAAATTGCACGCCTTTTTATTTGCAAAATAGCATAAAATTGGGAGCGCTAAACATGCGTATATTTGCGGGATCGAATTTGTTATCGTCGTCCTTTAAGCGGTTGCGTAATAAATTACTAACGTTTGGGTTTAATTTTAATAACGTAATGCCGTACATAATTATTAAGCCCGCTATCCAATCGATATAAAGGTTATAATAACGTAATTAAAAAAGCTTTAATATAATGTTAAGGCTTTCCGTCCTTAATGGCCAAATGTACATAATAAGCGTTTTTATTTAGCAAACGATGCGGTAGCGCATTTTAACGCATTTGCGGAAATAACCCGTAACTTTGCCATTAACCAATTTTAAAAGGATAAGTTTGGGCAAAGCAAAGCATAGCAAGTTATAATTATGCGCAAAAGTGTTATCGATAAATGCCCATAAAAAATATCCGGTATTTAAAAAAGTACGGCACCGGGTCGGTAACGTTCTTTCGGCAAAAAGTTCGTTATAAAATAAAAAAGTAAAATTGGGTTTTATTAAATGTAAATACACTTTTATTTTTTTTGGGAAATTGTTAGCGAAATGTTAATGGTTTTAAAAGCAATTGTGCCCAAAGCTTATTTTTTTAATTTCTTTTTTTTATGCAAGCGGTTGTTTGGTGCCCCGCCCCGCCGCAATAAAAATACAGGTTATTAATGCGTTTATATTCCTTTCGGGCGTTAATAAAAAAGGGTTAAGGCCTTATCGTAATTTTGTCGAAATTTATAGCGTTTAAATGCTAAGCCGGTCCCAGCGCATTGTTAGCGTTAAAATAACGTATTAAAAAATGGGCGTTAGCGTTTTGCTTGCCCCGGAAAATGTTGTTAGCGATGTTATTGGTTAGGTTCCGGAATAAGCTTACTTACTTTTCGAAATCGTCGGGTCCCGGGCGTTTTACAATTAACGTAATGGCTTTATGCAATAAACGGTTTACTTTTTGCTTAAAAACCAATATTTGTAAATTGTTAAGCAAATTGTACATATTGTTAAATTTAATAAAATTGCCGATAAAATCGCCGAAAAAAAAAATTGTTTTAAACGAATAATTTAAAATCCCGATTAGCTTTTGTTAATATATCGGTAGTAATGTAAATTTAATTTAACGTTTTAATAACGTTTGGGTAATTACGCTAACCGGCGGGCCATTGGGAAACGTTATCGCCGGCCGTAACAATTTGGTTAATTTTCGTTTTTATAAAAGCAAAGGCGTTGTTGCTTAAATGTTGGGACAAAAAAAAAACGCGTTTTAATAACGTTGGGAAAGCGGCCCGGTATAATTCCATTTATACCCTAAACAAAAAGCGCCAATTGGTATAATGCTTTTATCGTTGGATTTGGTTTACCTTTATGCTTTTAAAAATTTCGAAAGTAACCGTTCGGGGGCAAATTACTAGCAATAACGCGGCGGCCCCAAAAGGTTGCGTTAAAAAAAACGTATTTGTAATTGGTATAAATATGGTTTGGTTGGATAATTATTGAATTTAAATTCGAAATTCGCGGATCGTTATTTTTTGGTCCGAAATTATAACGTGGGCGGTATCGGCGTTTTGGCGGTATATTGCTAACAATTCGTTAATGGCTTAAAAACGGGTTTTTATAACCCGAAAAATATATTTAAATTGGATTTGGGCTTTATTAAAACGTTTTAAATACAAAGCAAAATATAAAACGGCGTAATTGTTAAGGTCGTTTTAAATTATTTCGCGTATAAAATGCAAAATTGGGAATAAAAAAACGGCGTTTCGTAAAATTGTTATTATCGGGCCCGAAAAGCCCGTTTCGAAAGCGTTGGGTGCGGTAAGCATAATATAACCGCAACGGTAATTCGTTAACGGGTTATTTAATTAAAAAAATTAAATCGGAAAAATAAAAATATTTTCCTAAAATTATACGGCAGGATTTGGGGTAAATATCGACGTTGGTTAATCGTAAGCGAAAAGGTGTGCTACCGTTTTACAAAGTTATTGGCAAAGGAAAGGACGAAATATGTTAATATCGGGTTCCGAAAATTTAAAGTGCAATAAATTGCTACGGCTTACATTTTATTGTTATAAAAAAGGCTTTGTTATTGTACGAAAAGGAAGCTATTTGGGCAAAGCGTTTTTGGCGTTTTGTCGCGGTTTTGTAAGCGTAACGTTGGCGCGCTAAAAGTGCGGCCTTAGGTTCCTCCCCAAGTGCCCCGACGCGTACCGTAACACCAAGCGTATATTTAAAGCGCAACCGATTTCGAAAAGATCGTTTTGCTGCGCTTACCCAAAAAATTACGCTTACGTTTTCCTTTTAACACTTTATTTCGAATCGTTAAGCTTTTATACGGTTTAGCGAAATTAGGATTGCATTGGTACGCTACGTATTAAAAACAATACAAAAAACGGTTAAATTGCAAATTATCGTGCTACGATCCGTATTTTTTCATTATAAAGCGCAATATAAATTTTGGAATAGTAAAAATGCAAATAAACGATACGCTAAATTTAGGAAATTAAACATTTATAAATTTCGAAAAAAAAGCGCTTTAAAAAGCGGGGTTTAAAACAAAACCACGTTCGATACTTACGGAAAGAAAATAAAGCGATTTTAACGGTAAAAGGATTATAATTAAAAAAGGCCGAATTAAATTAAAGCAAAAAAACCAAAGCGAAAAACTAAAGTTTGTAAACGCTAATTTAAAAAGCTACAAGTAATAATTCGTATTTTAAAGGGTTCGTAAAATATACATTAGCTTTATATGCCAGCCTAAAGCAGCTTTTAATTACGCTTTAACCGTATAAAAAACAAACCCGATACAAAAAAATATCGATAAATTTAACAAAAGGATTGGTTGGTAAATCGAAAACGCTAATAAAAGTTTAAATAACGTTTTTATCGATTTCGAAAACGCAAACCTTTACATTTTCGTAAATGGATCCTTTGCAAATAATAACAATATGTTTTTGCAAATCGGGTTTATTTTTGTATTAAACAATAAAAGATTAAACGAGCACCAAACCAGTTTTTAATTGCGCGGCAACATTTTGCATTAAATTTTAATTAAATGCAAAAAAATTACAAAAAATGTGCTAGCTAGTAAAATTTACGGCATGGTTTTTGGGTTTAATTCCGGTTACGTTATAAAAAAAGCTTGTTCAACGATTTTTAAACGGTTAAATTTTATCCAACCCAAGCTTATTTTTTGCACCGATAGCTTTTCGCTTTATTAATGCTTTATTTAATTAAGCACGATAGCAAAAAAAAAGTTTATAATTAATTTAATAACGTTTTAAAAATTTTATAAAAATAAGGAAATTAACGAAATCCGTTGGATTGCTGGGACAAACAATCCGGCAAATGCAATAACGAAAAAGTAATTAAACCGGGCATTAAAAAAGCTGGTAAGCATTAATACGATTTTAATCCGGATCGAAAATTAAATTAACCGCACCAAAATATAAAAAAAAAGTTTGGAAATAGGAATCGGCATGTTAAAATTTTTACGGCAATGGTTATGTAATGGCTTTAATAAAAGGAAAAGCAAAAAAACCCTAAACTAACGCGCAACGAGCACCAAATTATAAATTAATAAAAGCGCAAAATTAATATACTTATTTTATAATAAAATTATTATGAAAAAAGCAAGAAAAAACAATTTTTAAGCTTTTACGTTTAAATATTACTAGCATTACCCGAACCAAAAGCAATAACTTTGCTTTTAGCAATAAAAATTCCTTTCCCCTTTTTTTCTTGCCTTTTTTGCTTTTTAATAGCAATTGCAAGCATAGCAACGAAATCCTTAAGCTTTATAAGCGCTATAAAATAAAGCTAATTATTATTGCTATTATAATTTTTATTATTTTTATTCGCATTATCGTTTTAAGCGAAAAAACCTTTGCCCGAAGCTTTAAAAAACGCAATTTTAAAAAAACGAAGCGCGGCCGAACGCCCCGCTTTATATTGCTAACCCGAAATTATAATTGCAAAATTGGCATTTGGATCGATTTGCTTAATATCGAGCTTAAAAAGTTGCTTGGTAATGGTACGCCATTTTTAAAGTGTTTACGATCGGAAAAATAACGTTAACAAATTTGTAAAATACAAAATATACAAAATAAAAATAACATATTGCATTATAAAGCTTGTTGTTAAGCGCTTTGGCAAAAAATTTTATAGCAATACGATAAGCAAATAAAAAATTAGCAATTGTTAACGCAAAAAACTTGGAAACGAAAAAAAAAGCTTTTTATATACGCTTGTACGAATAACCAAAAGTATAACGCCAGCAACGCTTGCCATTGGAGCTTAACTTTTTAATACAAAGCCAAAGCATATCCTTTATAACGCCAAACTTGCCGTAAAGCACGGAATTAAAGCAATTAAAGCAAATTGTCGTTCGATTAGCACCTTTTTTACCGCGCTTACAAATATTAAAACCATTACGGCCATTGCGGGAAGCGGCACGCTTTTTTTTGCAACCGATAAAAACGGTTGGAACGGCCGAAGCGGGCGCGGGCGAGCTTTTAAGCATAAATTGTAATGCCGGAAACGAAAAAAACTCGTTAAATTTTTTAACGGGAAAAGGCATGGCTTAAAGGTAAGCTGTAAAGCTTTGTTTTGGAGCAACCCAAGCAACCGATTGCTAATTTTAAATTCTTTTTAGCGAAATAGCGCTTTCCGGAGCGTAATCGAGCGGATTTTAAGCGTTCGAACCAAGCGAAAAGTTTATAATGCTATTAAAAAGGTATAAAGCATAAAATTAAATAAAGGAAAATGGAAATAATAATACGGCAAGCGCACAAATTGCAAATAACGATCCCGGAGCGTACGTAGCCAATTAAATTGGCTTAAAAAACGGGGTTATAAAAAGAAAAGATTAAAGTAATTGGATCGACGATTAACGGGCCAAATAAAAGCTTACCGCTTTTTATCCCTTAGCTTCCACTTTTGCTTTTAACGCACTTATTTCCAAATACCACAAAAACCTTTTACTTAATTTACAATAATCCCAAACGCTTATAACCTTTAATTTATCGATTTCGGAATTTTGGAATTGGAATTTACATAATCCCCCAAACCTTTATCCACGTTTATTGTTTAATAACAATATGCATCCTGTTACGGGACCAAACCAAGGTAGTACCCGTTACACCAAAGCAAAAGAGGAACGTTGTTGTAGCTGGGGCTACAACCCATGCGAGGTCCTTATATGCAATCGTACCGTAACACATCCGGCGAAACAATCCGGATAGGCATTTTTTTTTTACATGTTATTTAAATCGCCGATTTGGCAAATTATTTGTTATTGCGCATTCGAACCGCAAATTTCTTTTTTTTCCTTTTTACTATGCATGCGCTACCAAAAAAAAAATAATTGGTATTAAAACCTATTTGTTAAGCGCATGCATAGGCTTTAGAAGATCGCTATGCACAAATTCGGAATTTATGCACCGGCTATCCAAAGCTCCTTTGTATTTATATAAAAAGGTTGGATCCGTTCCTTTCTTTTAAAAAGGTTTTTTCCTTTTTAAATTTAAATAATAACATTTTAATTTAATTACCTTTTAATAATTATCAAACTTTAGTTTTACGCCGTTTGGAGCTCCACGAGCATAAGACTTTACCTTAAAGTCCTTTTTACAGTTTTAATTATTGCTTTATTGGGAATCGATAACTTTTTGCAACGAAAGCGCGTTGCAAATACCCATATAAAGCGAAAAAAAAGTAATATTCGTTTTAAAGGCAGGTTTATTGGAATCGAAAGCGTTGCGGCGGCGCTCGTTGCGCGCTTTACGCTTTTTTTCGGCGGCGGTTTTTTTGCCGCAACGGTTAAAGCCCGCCGGGGAATTACCGGCAAAACGCTTGCGGGAATTTTAAAAAGTTGCAAGCGCAAAATGTTACGGAACCAAACCAAAGTAATACCCGTTACACCAAAGCAAAAGAAAAACGTTATTGTAGCTAAAGCTACAACTTATGCAAAATCCTTATATACAATCGTACCGTAACAATACCCCACCTTTAAACCGCAATTGTCCTTAATTACAATTTAAAGTTTTGCTTTTTAAAATGCGCTGCACAAGCAAAATGTTAGCGCTAGCGCTGCATAAGCGAAGTGCTAACGCTTATGCCATAGTAAAGCAATTGCTATAAGCTTTTTTTAAAAGGCTTTGGTTGGCTTTTCGAATTGTTAAAGCCAATTGCCCCCGCCCCTAGCAAAAAAAGCGCTACAATTGGCTTCCGTACGCGCCATTGCGCTACGGATAAACTTGTGCGCGCGACCGTGCGGGGAATTAAATTCGAGCAACCCATGTAAGCTACAATAAATTGTTACGGGACCAAACCAAAGTAGTACCCGTTACACCAAAGCAAAAGAGGAACGTTGTTGTAGCTAGGGCTACAACCCATGCGAGGTTTTTATATGCAATCGTACCGTAACACAAAAGGGCCCGATAAACCCGCGGCATTTAAAAGGTTTACCAAAAGGTTACCGGCAAAGCGATTATTGGGGATTTAAAGGATTAAAAGCTTTGGCGAATCCAAATCCGGGTCCAATTAAATTACGATAGCTAAAAAAAATACCGGAAGGTTACCAAAAGGGCATTAAGCCGGGGCTTGGGAAACCGGGGAACCAAAAAGGGCTAACGGGCCGGTTAAAACCGAAAAACCTAAAACGAATACCCAAAAAAATTACCTTCCTTACGTAATCGGGTACAAAAAATAACATTTGCAACTACCGGTTAAATTTAAATGTTTAAAAGGAACGGTTAAATACCAATTACTTACGGTTACAATCGTTAAAGTTATTAAAATGGTTATTAAATGCATAAAAAGGAAAAAAAAAAGGCTTGCGGCTTCGAACGGAAAAAAAAGCCTTTTATATGCCGGTATGGACTTACTTTTCCGGATATTACAAAGCTTTACAGCCGGTTTTTTTACGCGTTGCCGGGCATTGGGGCGGCTTAACGGGATACCGTTAATTACCGGTTACTTATAGGGTCGCACGTGCGGCGTATGCGGCTTAGGATAAGCCGTATCGGGAAAGGGCAATATGTTAAAAGTACGGGCGAAACCGCCCGGCAAAAAGCAAAGGGCGTTAAAAAAACGGGCGAAACCGCCCGGCAAAAAAGGAAAAAAAGGGCGTTAATAGCCAACCGGGCACGGATTTTCCCGGAAATATACCAGCAAGCTACCGGTATTGCAGCCAAAGTATAATAGCGAAACTAAAAAATAAGGTAAAGTTTAAATTGCACGAAAGCGCATAAAACGCGGAAGATTTAAAAAACCGACCCCGCGTGCCCGAAAGGGCACGAAAGAGGGGGAGGTTAAAAAAGGAACAATTTTTGTTGGCGATAGCACCTTTGGTAAGAGATTTACGGAGGCCTGACAAAGGAGACACCGCATCCGGCCCGTGACCCGGTGACCACCCGCCTCTGCACCGATTAACCCCTGACACATCGCTTCGATCTGGCTCCCGCCGGCTCAGAATACCATCTTTCCCTCCAAAACGACATGCAGCCGAATAACGATACAATTCCACACCCCCACCGTCCCCGTCTCTCTTCTCGCCGTGCTCCGGGGCACGGCCATGGCAAACCCCATTGCCGCCTCCCCAGTCTCGCCGGCGGTCCCCCAGGGGCTCGAGCCTCGACAGCAAAATGGGGTCCACGTGGTGTTCTACGCCGACGGAAACTGCGGCGGCAGGTCGTATCCGTTCGGGGTCCTCGGCCGTACCGTCGGGTGCTAGCCGGTGCCTTTTTGCCGTCCAGTCTCTTCGCGTTAGCGAGGGGTAAGTATCGTCCATGA